CAGAAATACATTACATTATTATAATATTACACTTTTACTGTATATTTGATAACATGAAATAGAATAATAAAATAAAAATATCTCCAATAAAACAAAATAAAACTACAAAAAATGCTAACAAAACAATTAGAATACATGAAATAAAAATGAAAAAATAAAAAGACTAGTAATGATGCTGAAAATTCAGCTTTGATCACAGAAATTAATGATATTTTACAGTGTATTCACTCAGAAAACATTTATTCTAAATAGTTTTTACTGTATTTTTAATCAAATAAAGGCATCCTTGGTGAACAGAAGAGACTTGTTTTAACTGAGCCCAAACTTGTGAGCACTACTGTGTGTTAGTATGCAGTGGGTTTAAATGTGTCTCAATGTGTTAAACGAGCGCTGAGCTTGTAATTCTGTTCACATCTGCTTCTCCTTCCTCTTGACACACGCTTCAGAAAACACCGTCAGTTGTGGACTTACTCTTCTGCTTTATTTGTCTGTTTCTCTAACTCTCGGTTTCTTTTCTGTTGGTCTTGATTGCTTGTGTGTGTGTGTGTTCAGTGGGGTCCAGCGCTGTATCTCTGCTACAAGCGTTCAGTGGCTAAAGCAAACGCTCTGGTGTATGAGGCAGGTGAGTGACACAAACACACACTCACACTCTGTCTGGAGTTTGTAAGCACGTGTGTCTCTCTCTGTTTGAATGTTTGTGTTTGTGTCTCTCTCTCTGTGTTGTGTGTTCAGGTCTGATCAGTCGCTATCCTGAGGAGGATCTGGAGTCGTTTCCGCTGCCGGACTCTGTTCCGGTCTTCTGTCTGCCGATGGGAGTGACGGTGGAGAGCTGGCCGCTCAACACTAAATACCAGCTGCCCATCTTCTCCACCTTCGTCCTGACCAGCGCCTCCGGAGACAAGGTCCGTCCCACTGCTTATTCAGCATAAAACCAATAACAACTAACAAAAAAAATCTAAAGTGCCAGTAAAGATATTTATAATGTTACAAAATATTTCTAACACTGTTCTTTTGAACTTTTTATTCATCTGCGAATCCTGAAAAACAAAATGTATCACGGTTTGTGAGTTAGTGTGTGTGTGTGTGTATGTGTGTGTG